CCCCGTCCCCAGGGGCCAAGTCCCACAGTTGGAGACCGGGTGGAAGCTGACACTGTCCTTGCACCTGAAGGTGCTAGCAAGGATGGGACCCTTACTCACACAGTTTTCCCAGACTTGTTTGGATGGCAGTTATCAGTAGAATGAGAACAACCTTTGTAGAATGAGAACAGCCTTTCATGGCTTACCAAGAAGTCTGTAACTATTTACTGAGATTTCCTGTACCGAGAACTTGCCCTTCTGTTCTGTCTCTCCCCTAGAGATTAAGCGGAACAAAGAATACATTCCTCTTGACAGACCTCCTATTCAGTGTTTTGTGTATAAAAGGCATTACTTGGTTAATAAACTTCCTGCAGTTCCTCGATTGACCTGTAGTCCTCCCGATCCCGCTCTCCTGTCTTTCTTTCTTTTCTCAATTCCCACCTCCTACCTCAGCCCGGTTCAATCGGTCAGGCTGACCCTGACATCACAGGACAGCCCCTGGAGCATGAATGGGCCTCCTTCCCTCTCCCCTCAGAGGCCCTCACAGCAGCCTCTTCCTGGACACAAGGCCTGACACCAAACAGGAGGCCCATCCCATCAGCGGGGACACTGAGCCCTGAGGAGTGAGGGCCTCAGTGTGGCTCCTGGTCTTTGGGGCAATGCCCTCCCCCCAGGAGCTCACACGCTGCTGTGGGCCGTGCCCTACCTGTGGGGAGAGTGTCAGTCACCACATCCGCCAGCTCCTCACCATCCCCTGTAGCTTGTGCCTCAAATGCGGAAACATGCACGAAAGGACAGCAGGGAATTTTTAAAAATATAAGCACATTTTAGGACACAACACAACGTGGGTAACAGAAAAACAGAACATACAAATGTTGAAATATAAAGGCATTTTCTAAAATTTAAAAAAACCCACGTGTTATAAGGTCCACCGATAAATGTGGAGCCCACCAAACCATTTTTTTTTAAATGAATCACTAACTCAAATCAGATGACAATGATTTGATGCCTTACAGCGTTTGAAATGTTTGTTGAATGGTCCTTCTTTGAATATGACCCTGAGGGTATTTCTGGAAAGTTCCTCTCTCCTTCATTGACCTGAACAGCCCCCAGGAGCTCATCACACCTGAGCAGCTCCCTCACCTGTGAGGTTGGACAAGAGGCTCACTGTGCATTTATTTGTGCAGCATCTTCACTGGAAGAGAAACCGTATTCATTTGTCATTTGTGAATGTTTAAGCTCATCACACAGATGCAGACCTGAGAGTGAAATGCTACGGTGATCAATACAGAGAATCACATCGCAGTATCTGGGCTCAGACCGTGGGTGTGGGAACAGGGACAGAGACCTGGGAGCCCACAGCCAGCTGGGCTGTCAGGGCTTTGGGGCAGAGGAGGGTGTGTCCTCCCACCAGCAGGGGGTGCTGTGGGACTGCCAGGTGATCAGCACACAGCTGTTCAGTGAGACCTTCACACAAGGGCACCTGCACTGTGGGCTCCCTGCTGTCCTTGGTGGCCTGGCAGCGCCCCCTGAGCAGGTCCCTGTGTGTGGTCTCAGCAGGTGCTTCCTCCCAGGGCCCCCCAAGGGTGAGCCCACCTCCATGCTCCTCAGTCTGGGGTGTGAGCTGAGCTCCAGCCCCAGGGCCCAGGGAGGGGCTGGGCAGTCCCTGGAGGGACCCCATTTGCATGGCAGCCCCTCCTCTGGCAGAGGGTGGGGAGAAAAGGAGGCCTGGGCAGCCCAGCCCCACTGTGGGCTCAGGGCTGTGAGCACCATGGCCTGGACTCCTCTGCTCCTCGCGCTCCTTTCTCACTGCACAGGTAGGGACAGGCCTGGGACCGGGCTTCTTCCCTTCCTGCTCAGTCTCCTGGGAAATGTCCCCTGGTCCCTGCCCATCACTGACAAGTGTCTGTGTCCGCAGGGTCCCTCTCCCAGCCTGTGCTGACTCAGCCGCCCTCCCTCTCTGCATCTCCGGGAGCCACAGCAAGACTCACCTGCACCCTGAGCAGTGGCTCCAATGTTGGTGGTTACTGGATACGCTGGTACCAGCAGAAGCCAGGGAGTTCTCCCCGGTACCTCCTGAAATTCTACTCAGACTCAGATAAGGGCCAGGGCTCTGGGGTCTCCAGTCGTTTCTCTGGATCCAAAGACGCCTCGGTCAATGCGGGGCTCCTGACCATCTCGGGGCTGCAGCCTGAGGACGAGGCTGTCTATTACTGTGACACATGGGACAGCAGCTCTAAGACTCTCACAGTGGCCCAGACCCACAGGGAAGTGAGACAAAAACCTCCTCTCCGCTCTCCTGGCCTGACCTTGGCCCCTGCTGGCGGCTCCGCCCAGGTCTGGCTCAGCCGTGACTGTGCTGATAGGTGTCCATCCGGCACCGGGTGATGCCTGGACCCGGGGTCCTGACAGGGTCACAGCTTTGGCATCAGGTCAGCGTTTCCATTGATTTGTTGCTCATGGAATGTGTGCCATGTTCACGTTCCCACAGGTAACATTCCTCAGGGATGAAGGTTCCCATGGAGACATTGGAGGAGGTTGAGTCAGATTCATTCAGGCCAAGCTCAGCTCAGAGTCAAGCAATGACTGAGAGAGGATCCTGGTCTGAGGGCTCAAATCTGAATTTTGCATTAAAAACCAACCTACTGAAATGAAGGTTGGTTTTTTATGAACTTTTATGAACGTGTGAGGCAGTATATATAATACCAGGGAACTATCAAAATTTGAAAATAACAACATCCTATCTCTAGGCACATGCATATGAGCTCCTTGAGGATACGTCTGGCTGTGATGCGAGGCCGCTAGAACTTAGCTCCGGGGCCAAAGGACCAGGGTGTCAGGGTGTCTCCATCAGGTCCTGGGTCTCCCTTGTCCTCACGATTAAACAGGACCCAGGACAGGGTCCCAGATGGTCATGCTCATGCGGGCACTCCGCCAGCCCTGCCCCATGCCCTGCAGCGTGGACCCTGCCTGTGCACACGGGTCCCTGCAGCTCCCCTGCTCCTCCAGCTCCTCCAGGGACCGGGACCAGGACAGACAGCCCAGGCCTAGTGCCCCGGCCCAGGCAGCAGCTCTGGGGAGAAAGGGGTCATTTTCATCCATCAGCACCGGTGACATCTCAGCAACACTCTGCACCCATGACACAGCCACATCCTCAGGACATGGGGGTCCTCAGCCCGGCTGGCGGGGTCAGTGGTTGAGTGTTGACCTGTGAACCAGGATGTCAGGGTTGTATCCCGGGTCAGGGCACATGCCCAGGTTACATGCATGAACCCAGTGGGGGGTGTGCTGGAGGCAGCCAGTCGATGATCCTCTGTCATCATTGATGTTTCTTTCCCTCTCTCTGCCTATTACTTCTCTGAAATCAATAAAAATATATATAAAAACAGACAGGAATGTTGGTTCTCATTTTGGTCGCCATGTCAGCTACCCCAGAGGCCCCTGTCACAGGTTGAGGATGAGGCTGAGCATCACTGACCAGCCCACCCCAGGGCCCCGCCCTCCTCCCAGCACAGCCCCGGGGGTGTGAGTCCCCTTCCTGGGCTCCCAGTCTCTCCCGGGAGGTGCTGACTCCAGGTTGGATTATCATCATCATCATCGTTACATTTCAGAGGATCCTGTTCAGTGAGCACAAGAGAAATGAGTTGGCAGCTCCTCTCCTTGCCATCTCCCACCCACACCCCCGGGGCAGCAGGAGGTCACAGGTTCTGGCAGCTTCCCTGGGGGCCGGACAGACAGAGCAGAGCACAGCTGAGCCTCTGGAGGAGGAAGGTCACTGTCCTCACCCCAAGGTCAGGAGCGCCCTCTGCAGACTTGGGCGGGGAGGGCCTGTGGGACTCTATGGTGCCTGCAGGCCCTGCTCTGAGGGGAGGGTCCATCCTGGAACATGAAGGAACATCTTCCGGGGCTTCCACAGCATTTTTCCAGGGGTCTGGACAGGAAGGCTGGCGTCTAAGTTCTCACGACATCCCATTGCTGTGTCTTAAAGGGCCAGACTGATTATCACACAAAATGACTCCAAACAGGTATTGATGGTTTCCTGTGGCTTTTCCCCTCCATCGATCTGCCACTGTCCCCCCGACACACGCATTCAATGTCTTCAGCTCTTTGTGTGGCCATCGCATGGGGACGACGAAGAGATGGCTCCCCCTAAACCCACACCCAGCTCATCACACAGGGCCCAGCGCAGAAGGCACTGCGTCATCAGCCAACACCCCCCATTCCCTGGACGGATGAGCGCGTCCACAGAGACAGACTGAATGAGTGACATGCGTGTCAGGAGCCCCCTCCCGTCTGTGCAGAGGGAGGAGCCCAGGGCTGTGTCCCAGGCTCATGTCCCTTCTCAGTCCCCCAGCGCCCTCAGGACTCTCAGCACCAGAACATCTCCCCTGAAGGCTGGGGCCCAGCTGACTGTTTATGAACGTGTGAGGCCGTATTTCTAACCGCCTCCCAGACCAGCACCTCTCAGTCACGTCCGTGCTGGCACCTCCCAGGCTGGCCCAGGATGAGAAGCTGCAGTGAACGCCAGCGTCTGTGCCAGTCAGACCAGGAAGTGGGAACAGGGACAGTGGCCTGGGAGCTGCAGACACCAGCTGGGCTTAGGGCTTAGGACCAGGGCGATGTAGTGTGTCCTGAGGCCAGCAGGGGGCGCGGTGGGATCGCCTTGTGGCCCCCACACAGCTGCTCACTAAGGACTTTCCACTCACAGGAGCCAGGACCTGGGGGCTGGGCCCTGTGCGCCCTGATGGGGACCAGCTGTGTCTTTGCTGGCAGCGCCCCCTGAGCAATAGCCTTTGTGTGGTCTCAGCAGGTGCTTCCTCCAGGGCCCCCAAGGGGTGAGCCCACCTCCAAGCTCCTCAGTCTGGGTATGAGCTGAGCTCCAGCCCCAAGGCCCAGGGAGGGGATGGGCAGTCCCTGGAGGGACCCCCATTTGCATGGCAGCCCCTCCCCTGGCAGAGGGTGGGGGAGAAAAGGAGGTCTGGGCAGCCCAGCCCCACTGTGGGCTCAGGGCTGTGAGCACCATGGCCTGGACTCCTCTGCTCCTCGTGCTCCTCTCTCACTGCACAGGTAGGGACAGGCCTGGGACCAGGCTTCTTCCCTTCCTGCTCAGTCTCCTGGGAAACGTCCCCTGGTCCCTGCCCATCACTGACAAGTGTCTGTGTCTGCAGGGTCCCTCTCCCAGCAGCCTGTGCTGACTCAGCCGCCCTCCCTCTCTGCATCTCCGGGAGCCACAGCCAGACTCACCTGCACCCTGAGCAGCGGCCTCAATGTTGGTGGATACAGGATAAACTGGCACCAGCAGAAGCCTGGGAGCCCTCTCCGGTACCTCCTGAACTACCACACTGACTCAGATAAGGGCCAAGGCTCCGGGGTCCCCAGCCGCTTCTCTGGATCCAAAGACGCCTCGGCCAATGCGGGGCTCCTGCTCATCTCGGGGCTGCAGCCTGAGGACGAGGCTGACTATTACTGTCTGATCTGGTACAATAATGCTCCCACAGTGACACACACAGATGGGGAAGTGGGACAAAAACCTTGGCCTCCACCAGAGTCTTGGGTCCCAACATGTGACCTTGTTAACATAAATTCCATGTGCAAACTACACGGGGAAGGACCTTCTGGTTTATAAAGAGTCACTTTCCATGTTTGATCCCATGTCTCTGAGTCTCAGGAAAACAGATCCAACACCAAAACTCAGTGGTCATTATGTCCCTGAAAGGTGGCCTGTCCTCTGTGGGTACGAAGCCCAGGTCCGTGCGATGGCTGTTTCTGACTTGAATTAAGGGAAGAGCTTTGTAAACGGTTCCCAGAGCCCAGGACCCTCCCAGCAGGCGGTCGAGCCGGAGCACAGACTCGGCGCCCAGAGGTCAGAGCAGTGACCCCTCAGTCCCCGGGCTCCTCGCCCAAGGCTCCTGCCCAGCCCTGTGCACACGGAACAGGCTCTCAGCTTCGAGGGGCTGGGGAGCCTCGGGCCCAGGAGGAAGCCCAGGCACAGGGCTGGCCATCACCTCTGCTGGGACCCTGACCTTCAGTGCCATTGGGGAGAGGGGCTGTCAGAGGGAAATGGGTGGCCTGGGCCCAGGGACCCTCTTTGGGTCTCGACAGGGTGAGCGAGCTGGACGGTGGCTGGATGCTGAGCTGCTCCAGGAAGGATGCGGGCGCCTGGGTCTATGGGGGAGACGCTCTCACAGCTGACGCCACTCAGGCCCATGGGGCTCCCGTGAATGGGGTTCCCTGAGCCACAGGCTCTGACTGTGTCCTCTCCTCTCACCCACCGGGGCTGTCCTACCCCCAGGGTGTGGGTGGCTGTGGGCCATGGGGAGCAGGACCTTCCCAACAGGTGCCTGTCACTCCCGCTGGGAAGCTGTTGATGAGCCCAGATCCCAGGTCACCTTCTCCTGAACCTGGGTCAGCAGACACACTGACCGTTCCCATAGCAACGGTCCCCACAGCACCCAGGCAGAGCACCTACCGGACCTTGTGACCTAGGACAGAGGAGATTGACAGTCCACAGCTCAGCTCTCTTCACTTGCTCTTCATTTGTGCACGTGGCTTCTTTTTGTAATACATATTTTTCATGTATTTTTAAAAAATATATATTTTTTATTTAGAGAGGAAGGGAGAGGGAGAGAGAAATAGAAACATCAATGATGAGTCAATGATCGCCTTCCTCCTGCATGCCCCATACTGGGAATGGGGCCCGCAACCGGGACTTGTGCCCTGACCAGAACTTGAACTGTGACCCCTGGTTTCTGGGTTCATGCTCAACCACTGAGCCCTACCAGCCAGGCTCACACGGCCTCTGTGACCACCCCTCGTCTCTGGCCTGAGAAGGAGGCTGCCAATCGCGGTCACGTGACTTATTAAACCCGCTCCCAGGAGAAGCTCCAGCTCTGGGGCGGGTGAGTAGGCACCTGCCCTCCTCTCCTGCAGGACCAGCTCACCCTGGACCCGATTGCAAAAATATGACTGACAGCCCTGGCTGGTTTTGCTCAGTGGATAGAGCCTCGGCCTCCTGACTGAAGGGTTCCGGGTTTGATTCTGGTCAAGGCACAGGCCCGGGTGAAGGCTCCATCCTCTGTAAGGGGCATGCAGGAGGCGCCGATCAATGATTCACTGTAATCACTGATGTTTCTATCTTCATCTCACTCTCTCAAATCAACAAAAATGTATTTTTATTAAAAAAAAGGGAGAATGGCCGAAACCGGTTTGGCTCAGTGGATAGAGCATCGGCCTGCGGACTGAAGGGTCCCGGGTTTGATTTTGGTCAAGGGCATGTACCTTGGTTTCGGGCACATCCCCAGTGGAGGGTGTGCAGGAGGCAGCTGATCGATGTTTCTCTCTCATCGATGTTTCTAACTCTCTATCTCTCTCCCTTCCTCTCTGTAAAAAAAAGTCAATAAAATATATTTTTTTTAAAAAAAGGGAGAATGAAAGGCACCCAGAGGCTCCTCATAGCATCTTCACAATGTCCAGATTCTGTGTAAATTACCCCTCATTATGTCAAAAACCAGGAAGTTAAACACGTGAAGGAGGAATGAGAATCTACTGACACCAACACTGAGGTGACCCAGAGGAGGGGATTCTGGGGCGGATGTATGAGGACAGCGATCCCACAGTCCATGGAGGAGCAGCTATGAGCTTCATAGTCCAAAGGGAAGAAGAGACACCCAGGATTCAATAGACTCTGTGGACACAGCCCAAGGGCAATTATAGAACCAAAAACAAAACAGGGGAAATCAGGGGGGAAGCTCTCTGCAGGGAGTAAGAAGGAGGAAATACCTGGTTGGTTTGTTTGTTTGAAGTGGCATCATTCCTTCTGTAGTTCCTGCCACCATGACTATTCCCTAGGGCGTCACCAGGGGGCGCTGTGGCTCTTCTCAGAGCTGCAAGGCTTGAAGCCAACTCACATGGTTCTCATTGAGTGGGCCCTGCGCCCATGCCCATGGCCTGGGTGTGAGGTGACAGCAGGTGCTTCCCCTCAAGGGACAGACTCAGAGCCCACAGCCTCCCCAGCCTCCTCCTCACAGTGAAGCTTCAAACTGGGCCCAGGACCCAGGACTGGAGGGTCCTGTGGGCTCACATTTGCATAATGACCAGCAAACACCCCCTGTGCCCAGGAGGCCGGGAGGAGATAAAGGGACACCCGAGACCAGCACCTGCAAGAGACCGAGGCACCTTGGAAAGTCTCCACCATGAGCTGGACTCCCCTCCTCCTCCTCCTCCTCCTCCTCGCTCTCTGCCCAGGTTCAGGGCCATTTCAGAGACCAGCCCGTGGAGGGGTCCCTCTGCCTTTATTCTACATTCCTGATCATGTCTGTATCTATTTCAGGGTCCAGGTCTCAGGCTGTGGTCACTCAGGAGCCCTCAGAGAGCGTGGTCCCAGGCGTGACGGTCACTCTCACCTGCAGCACTAACACTGGAGAGGTCACCAGCGGTCACTACCCGTACTGGATCCAGCAGAAGCCTGGCCAGGTCCCCAGGACACTCATTTATGACACAAGCAATAAACTCTCCTGGACCCCGGCCCGGTTCTCAGGCTCCATCCAAGGGGGCAAAGCTGCCCTGACCCTCTCAGGGGCGCAGCCTGAGGACGAGGCCGAGTACTACTGTGCCCTGTGGTACAGCAGCCGTCCCCACAGTGACAGGTGCGGGCGGGGAAGTGGGGCACAAACACAGGGCTCAGGGCACCTCTGCTTCTGGGGCCCCGTCTGCTGTTCACGGGGCTGCGTCCCGCTGGGGTGGCTCTGAGGGTTGTTCTCCGAGTCCCCGGACCAGGCAGTCGCATTAATTATTCTCAGCTGTGAGAGTCAGTATAAGCAACAGTCTCACAGGAAATGGACAGGGGCAGCAAAAGGAAAAGTCACACTCACACTCACACTCACACACACAGTCAAGGGTGCATTTCACCTGCCCAGCATTTAATAATCAAGATAAAACTTAACAATATAGTAGAAAAAACAATACAAATGGAGCCACTTTGAAATGCAGTTGGGGCCTCCCTCCCAGAAGAATTTCCTTCCCGTCTTCCCTTCACACCGTGTGAGGTTGGGGGGCAGGACCCTGTAGAGGGGTCACAGCACCGTGTCTTCCAAAACCGGTCCCTCTGCCCCAGAGCAGGTTCCCACAGACTCTCTGAGGCCTGGGTGTCTGTCCCGCGGGCTCAGCTGTGAGGACAGAGTCAGGGACCGAGGCCCAAGCTGAGATCATGTCAGGGTTGGACGGAGCCTCCAGATGCTGGAAAGAGACAAGAGAGCACCTACCCGGGGCCTTCCTGGGAGGGCGGGCCTGCCAGCACCTTGACCTCAGACTTGAGCCCCACCCCTGAGAGGGACCCTCTCCCTGGTTCTGGGGGGCTCAGTCTGTGGGCCTCTGTGGCAGCGTCTCCAGGACACAGCCCGTCAGGACAGTCCATCCTGCTCAGCCTGGGGGTGAGCTGAGCTGCAGCACCAGGGCTCAGGGGGCTGGGCAGTCCCTGGAGGGACCACATCTGCAGGGATGGCCCCTCTTCTGGCCGAGGGCGGGAGGGAAGGAGGCCTGGGCAGCCCCAGCACCTGGCCCGGGCCTGGGGAACCTCCTTGAGCTTGGCCACCTGCTCAGAGCAGGGATTTGCTCTTTCTCCTGAGAGGACATCGCCAGGGACCTCTGAGCTCCCAGGAGCGGGAACTGGGCTCCATCCCCTGCTGACCC